CCCAAAAAAAATTTAATCATCTTTTTCCCTTTCCATACATTAAAAAGTTTTTGGGTTGAAATGTTATAAAAAGATTTGTTGGGCCTAATTTTTATGATCAAAAGTCAATAAAAGAGGGAGATAAGAGATGATGGGGTATGGTGAAATTTTTAGGGGCTGTGTAATGGCACCTGAAATAAAAATAAAAGAAGGGTCTACCATGAAATAATACAATGAATTAGGGTTCTATATGAAATTTTCTCTCTTTTTTACTTTAACTTTGGACCTCAAAGATAAAATAAAAATATGAAATGAATACATTATTTTTTGACCAAGTTTCCAAATATCAGCTACATGACATATTGGGCAAGGAGGTAATATATTTGGAACTGCAATTATATGGATATGAAGCAAAAAAGATGAAAATCAAAGTACTTTGTGCTAACGTAAAACCTAACATAGAAGTATTTTTGGGACACCAAAATCTGGGGGCTAAGGTTGTGACCTCTTTAACTGTAGACTAACTTGAAGAGGAAAAAGAAAAAGAAATAAAGAGTTCAAATCTAATGCCCTATGCACTTCAAACAAAAAAGTCTTAAGATAAGTTGAATTTCAGGGTGAGATTTAATTGTTAAAATGGATAAAAATCAAATATTTTATTTTCAAAATAATAATTTGTGATTATATGACGGTTCCCAAAGTTTCAGATAGGTATTATGAAAGTTCCCCAAGTAGTTCTTTGCAATGAGTAAGTATATAGTATGCTCTTCCGGGAGCATTATATCACTCTTAGAGTAATACTAAGCTCATAATGAGCATGATTCGAAATTATACAATCTAATAGTGGCATGATGGACCTTCAAAGCTAATGGCCATTTACTTGGAACCTTCAAGATTTGAATGATCGGACTTCGAACCTTCACTTTGTAAAGGTCCGGAATGAGAGCAATTCAAATACTGGCCCTTCAAGGTCCGAAGTGATCAGGCTTTGGACCTTGAAGGTCCATAGTAGGCACATTTTAAGAAAACATTAAAAAAGAAAAAAAAAAGTGACATAAAAATTAAAATTTGAGGGGATTTTCATAATAAAATTAATTTAGGGGATATGAGCATAAATTTATCATTTTCTTCCCATGAGGACAGTGGAAAAGAAATGTATTATTTTTTCCTTATGTCAAAAGATTAAATGCTCAATTGGAAGAATATATTCAATTCACTCCATAGCATAAAAACCCTATGTAGAAATACTTCTAAGATCCTAAATTCATGAGATGCAATTTTCTCAAACCAGCTGGCAACGTCCGAAAAATAAAAAAATCATATTGTGTTTAGCTGAAAAAAGTAATGTCTTCAAATTAACACTTAAAAAG